GATTTCCAAAAAGATCTACATACATGCAGTTTATGTGAGACACACTTCAGGTGTAAGGAATGATATGGTTACTAGTAAAAGGATGTAAGGAAAGATAAAACATTCCATTCCCAAACAAAAGAACCGTCTGTTGGACAGGCCGTGGAACTGCCTGCCTCTGAACAGTCTGGTCTGTAGAGGAGGGATTTGTCACCCTGTGTGTGCCTTTTCTCTATTGTCATTTCTGAATATGAAAATTCCGTGAGCACACTCTGGAGAGAGAATTCTATATTCTGTAGTCTGAATATCTGATTGATTTCACTTGGAATCAGTGGGTTGCCTTGACTGTGCATTTAGAATTCATCTCAGTAGGCCGTATGAATCAACAGGTCCAATTGAGTCATTTCTTTCAAAAAAGAAGGAAGACATTAATTTGCTAAATATGCTACCCCAGGTCTTCTGCGAGGGGTTTGAATTAAATCCCCCAAGCAGCTCTAAGGGACGTTTCTCCCATTTGATGGATTGAATAACTGAAGCACAGATAGGCGAAGTAATTTGTCTAAAATTATTGAAAGGTGGAAGAGCTGGGTTTCATGACTGTGTTGACTGCTCCCAAAGTCCACGTTGGAGAACCACAGCTAGAGCCACAGCTGGGTACGGGGTATGACCCCCATATGCCCAGCGCAGCTCGGGCACTATGCCATCTGTACTTGTGGCTTGCCTGCTTTGTATTGTTGTTGATTTTAGCTCTTATCTTTAGTACTTCTCTTCCTCTACTTGTTGAGGCTTAATTGGCACTGGCACTGCTGGGTCTACTTTGTTGAAACAGAATGTTAGAGAATTAATTTCAATTATCCATTCTCATAGTACGTGCATTGTAAAGTTGAAAATTTTCCTCTAAGCGTGACTTCAGCTGTTTTCCATTAAGTATTGGTATGCCATCTTTTCACACCATTCAGTTCAAATCATTTTTTAAAAATTCCCTGATGATTTCTTATTTCACCTATGGATGCCTTATGTTTCTTATTTCCTAAATATCTGGAGGATTTACCAATTATTTTCTGTTATTAGTGTCTAGTTTAGTTTCATTATAGTCCAAGATTCTGCCATTTCAACAGTTTGAAAATTGTAGTGACTTGCTTAAGGTTCAGAATATGGTGTGTCTTGATGGATATTCTAAGCGCATTTGAAATGCTGGTGTATTCTGCCAGTTTTGATTTTATCATTCTTTAAATGTCAATTAGGTTAAGTTGGTGGATGTATTGTTCAAATATTCATATCCCTACTAATCTTTGGGGTGCTTGCTTTATCTGTTGCTGGGAGAGAAAACATCAATCATCTTCAATTTGACAATTGACAAATCTTCATTTGAAATGTCAATCATCTTCAGTTTGACAAATTATGGTCAATTTGTCTGTATCTCCTTTAGATCTGTCAACATTGGCTTTACATGTGTTGAGGCTATCTTAAGCACTCACACAAATGTGTGTCTATTGACACTTTTATCATTATGAAATATCTATCCTTGTTTATCACAATAGTTCATTTCTCGATGTCTGTACTCTCTAACATGAAGTCATCATACACAGTCAAACCACCTTTCTCTCATATTCAGAAATGACAGAGAAAAGGCAGACACAGGGTGACAAATCCCTCATCTACAAACGAGACTCTGTTCAGAGGCAGGCAGTTCTACTGCCTCTCCAACAGACTGTTCCTTTTAATCTGTTTAAAAGTGGCAGCTTTCAAACAAGGGCATATTTGTTTTTCTTTTTTGGTTTTGTAATGTTCTTCACCAAATAGGCAATGTATTACACACCCACTATCCTTCCATAATGAAGGAAATTTCCCCACAGAAGACTCAGTTATGCTCCCATTCATAAATGCAGAATATATATATGCTACATATATTGGGAATATACCTAGTTCCACTGGAACATACTCAAGCTTTGGTCCAAGAAGCATTGGAGCTACATAATTGGAATCTAAAAACAAAAAAAGAAAAGAAACATGCATTAGTGTTGCCTTCAGGTTTTCTAAGACAAGTATCTGTTATAATATGCTCATTGGATGTAAAGAAGATTCAAATAACCACACTTCATAGTTTGAAGTGTGGGGATCCATTCCATATCCCCACATAGTTGCTTGGGTCTTGTTTCCATTAACCAACAGCTGCAGCTCATAATGTAGATTGCTTCACTTCCCACCCATACCACGCTCACAGTGCTACGGGAAACACCTTGAATCTTGTTTCCCCTCCTGGGGAACAACCTGCAGCTGCAGCTCTGCTCACTCCAGCTACGAGGCAGAGGAAGACTCTCATCCAGGGGGATGGCTGACAGACCCCTGACACGACCAAACTGCAGGACTTAGAAGATGCAAAGTCACTGGGAAGTGCACTCTATTCTGCCCGATTCCTTCCCTCAGTCCTTCAGCTCCTCACTGATAGATTTGCAGAGTGCAGGGCCACAAACCAAGCCCTCGCTCTCTGGCCTCCACATTTCCCCAGCAGGATGCTGAGAGGAGTGTCCCTTCAATTCTACACCCTGGGTGCCTCGTTTGGCTCCTTCCACCCCAGCCCTACTGGTGTGCTGGGCTGTAGGCCCTGTTCTACTTCTTTTCCCAAATGACCTCTGACCTGAACCAGAAACACTCTACATCCATTGATGTTGAGGAAGGAAATCATCATCCTGTAGCCTCCTACTAAATGCTAGAATACCGCCCGGGCATGGTGGCTCACCTCTGTTTTCCTAGCACTTTGGGAGGTCAAGGAGGGTGGATCGTTTGAGCTCAGGAGTTTGAGAACAGCCTGAACAAGAATGAGACCTACCTGAGCAAGAACGAGACTCCATCTCTGCTAAAAATAGGAAAACTAGCTGCGCATTGTGGTGGACACCTGTAGTCCCAGCTACTCTGCAGGCTGAGGCAAGAGGATCACCTGAGTCCAAGAGTTTAAAGTTGCTATGAGCTAGGATGTCACGGTACTCTACTCAGGGCAACAGAGTGAGACTCCGTCTCAAATAAATAAATAAATAAATAATAAAAATGCTAGAATATAGCCTGAAGGAGCCTATATCCCCACAAAACTGAGAGCAACTGAGAGCGACTATGGGCATAGACTTAATTACAGTTAAGTTATTGTAAGCCGTGGCATCAGCACCAATAACTTCTCTCATCACCTGACTGTCCCCTCTAGCAACTTCAGTGCTTCTGGGGCATTTCCAGCCAATGTCCACAGCAGGCTCCTGAGGCCTACAGACACTCAGGGCGCAGGCCCCCTGACAGTGTGGAGCATACCATGAGTTGGGTAGTCTCCTGCAGCATCCACACCTCCCTGGGTCCTCTCATAAAGTGTAGCACTGCTGAGTGAGGAGTGAGAGGAGGGGACAGTGGGGGGCAGCAAGGTGGGAGTGAAACCAGCACAGTGGAACTTCAGGTGAGGAGTTGAGATGGGGCTCCCCTAGGACTCAGGCTCTCCTGGCAAGCCTGGAATGCTGGATGACAGGCTGGAGGAGCCAACATGTATCCAGAGAAAGAATAAACTCTCAGGTCTAAGCTTACGGAGCAACGTGGGCTGTATTCAAGGACCAAGGGGAAGGCGGTGATTTTTGTAAATGGGGAAAATTGCTACTGACTTCTTTCTCAGGATCCATTTTTTCTTCCAGGAAATTATCTGAGAACCTGGGGAAAGGTAGTACGAAGGATATCTTCAGTAGAGGACATCCTTAGTAGAGGATGCTGTCTGCTAATGCTCAGGTTACATCCCTGGAAACCCAGACCAGTACTGGGTTTCTAAACCTGGTATAAAGTGAAGGGTACAGCCCTATTTGAGGTGATGGGAAGAAGCCCACACCCCAAGGCATGCACCTGGCATGGCTTGTCTACCTGTGAAGCTAAAATCATGGAGTCAAAATGGCATAGCTCTTGTCTTCAGTGACAGGACAGGTGACAGACCAGCCAGAGTGTGAGAAGAGAACGGGAGATGCCAGGTAGGAATCCAGAGGATGTTATTCACGACATAAGCTGAAGACAATGGTGCTCTTGGGGGTCAGAAAATGATCCACAAAGCATGGCCTGCTGACTGCTTTGAACTAAAGGATGTTAGAAGGACGCATGAACAGCCTCAGAAACCAAGGTCTCGTTGACCTTCTCCTGCCCTCCTGTTTCTCTCCCTTTTTCACCCCTGAAGCTAGTCATAGAAACCAGACTTCCTCTTCCTATAGGTGAGTGATAGAAACTAGAATCCCTTTTCCCCAAAGCAAGCTGTAAAACCTAGAACAATTCCTCTAAACTGCCCTCCCTTTCTGCCTAGGAGCTGGCTAAGAATTCTCTGACCACCCATGTACAATTGTAGGTCCTAAGGACTCTCATTCCAGAGGGTCCCACCCACCTCTACTTGGGAGAAGAGTTTAAATAGACAGACCTTGCTGGGTCCCCCACTCACTCCATGACCATTAGTTAATACCCCTTTGGCCAATCACATGTCTACACAGCTGTCCATGCTTCACAGAACCCAAACATATAATCAGTTTTCCCTGGGTCTCTGGGTCTTCATGCCCGAAGGTTCCCATGCTACATAAAACTTTGATTAAATAAATTTGTTATACTTTTCTCTTGCTAACCTGTTTTTTGTTACAGGAGTGTTCGCCATGACCCTTATGAAGGGCGAAGATGGGGAATCACACCTTTCCACCCCCACAGGGCTTGCCACATGGCAGCTGAGAGGCCTACATCCATGAACACAGACCACCTGGAAAAAAGACATAGCAGAGAAGGTGGGAGCTCAAGCCCCAGTGTCCTCAGAACAGCCCCTGTCTATTGACTCCAACTCTAAGCACTACATTTTTGTAGATTGGTTGCAAACTTTACCAAATACATAGAAAAATGTCCAGAATACTGAGGAATCTAGACTTCTGGATGTCAAGTGTTGCATCATGGGTAGGACTATAGCTGCTCTGTAATTCACTCAACAGGCTTGTAATGAGCACTTATGATGCACCACAGGTGTACAAGATGCCAAGATGAGGAACAGAACTCAGTTCCATCCCTTCTTTCCAGAAACTTCTCAGGTTACTGATAGAGACACACATGGAATCTGATTCTGAATCAGAAATACAAATGAAGAGGCCACCATAGAGGCAGAGAGGAGGAGGGACATGTGACTGGCATCCTCCAAGACTCAGGTGGCATTCTCCAAGAAGACAAGGAGCATAAGATGAGCAGTTCAGGTGTGAGGTGGGGGGCTGTGAGCCTGTGTAGCAGAGTGGGGGGCCAGAGGTGGGGTGGGAAATGGTCCTAGCAGTAGAGCTCCCTGGCCCTGGAACCAGCTTTGAGCTTTACACACACTCAGAAGGAAATGAACTCACCCAAGCTCACAACTTCACAGAGCTGTTGTGAAAATCATATGAGATGATTCCACTCAAGTGCTTGGCATAAACCCTGGCCCCTTTTAATGGTGGCTATTCACACTGCTTCTTCAAAGAGGGAGGGAAAGAGTGGCTGGCTGATGGGCTAAAAGCAAAGATGGATGGGAGAGAGGGTATAGGTACTGAGTGTATCAAAGGAACAGAGATTGACGTGAGATTAAAGAATATACGTATGGAAGAACTCAGGGCACATGATTATACACAGATTTAAGTTTAGGGGTTTAAGAATTCCATTATGGGATTACCAGGTTCTGGGTTATAGCAGGCAAAATAACAGCCTCCAAAGTTTTCCATATTCTAATCTCCAGGTCCTGGAAATATGTTATGCTACAGGGCAAGGAGGAAATTTCAGATGGGATTAAATGAAGGATCTTGAGATGGGGAGACTCTCCCGGGTTTTCTGGGGGGATCCAATGTTGTCACAAGGATCTTCATAAGAGGGAGATGGAAAAGTCAGAGTCAGATAGAGGAGTGATGATGGAAGGAAAGTTGAGAGAGAGAAACTTGAAGATGCTGTATGGTCAGCTCTGATGAAGGAGCACCAGCCAAAGAATCCAGGTGGCCGCTAGAAACTGGAAAAGGCAAAGAAATACAATTTCTCCCTGAGCCTCCAGAAGTCATGCAATCCTGCCAAAACTTTGATTTCTAGGGAGGACACTAAGTTTGAGGTAATTCATCACAGGAGCCATGCATGGGTGAATACTTATCTAAGTGGATGGCCCAAGAGAAGAGGACAAACGTTACCAAAGTGAAGGAGCTGCGGTCCCCAGTGAGCCCACAGATTCTGCTGAATGAGTCATCTACCTGGGTTCATAGTTTCCCAGGACTACATGAAAGAAAGCCTAGGGTGGATAGGTCACCTCGCTTCAAATAAATCAAAGAAACTGTCATTTTAAGAAGGGGCTAGGCTTCTGTGAAGTTACTGCAGGCAAACAAAAACCTGTGGGTGGCAGCTGCTGCAAGGCATGTGTTGACTCAATGGGAAAAAAAGATTTCTCAGCAGTCAGATATTAAACTAAGCTGCGGATAATTTGGTAATTTCCTTGATAGCTCCCAAGAAGGGACTAGATGATCAATTATTGGCTGTGCCATATGAAAGGCATCTTCACTGGGAGAGGATTAATTAAATTATCTCTAGGGTCCCGGCCTTCTGTCTTTTCATCATGCATAGTTGGAATCCATGACAAACCAGACTATTAGCAGCCTCACCTTCCTACCACCTGTCTTCTTTACATTATCCCATCCGGGAGGGAGCCTTTTCCCCAGCATGTCCTTCTGCCTGTTCACGACACTCACTCTCCAAGATCAAGGTTAAGAGAGAGTCTCATGCACCTGGTCTTCCTCCAGTTTCTTACCATATACTTAAGGCCTTCCAGATGACCCTGTTTCATACATTGGGCTACCTTTAGGCGGCTTATTGCCTGTCTTGATTACGACCAAATTCCTTGAGAATAGTATTGTGCTTCTTTCATTTTTCATATTTCCTTGCTTCCCTTGCCTCCCAGAACTAAGTATAGTTTATTGAATGCATGCATCCTCATTAAATATTTGTTGAGTGCAAACGAAAGTTTAACAACAAAAGATTCTGCAATTTACTCACATTCCAAATAAGAGAAAGAGCCAATTTATGTGAGGTTTATTCATAGAAACTTCCATTTGATGCCAAAAAGAATTATTTTTCAGCCAAGTGGATGGGCACCAAAATGAAGATTTGGATCCTTATATTTGAATTAGTGGTATAGTCAAAACCTCAACTAAGTGGCCTTTTAATTCCTTCCTTTCTTTAGAAGAAAGAAAAAAAATGTTGTTTTCCTAAGATACATTTGTTTCTTCCCAATTCTAAGATTTCTCTTACCTTTACCTATTGTTATATTGTAAGTTTTGGTGATGTTAAATAGCTTTCCATTATGATGAAGGAAAAACACACAGGAATAAAACCCCTGATCTTCAAACACGGCATTCTTCTTTATATTGTTCTCAAGTAGCTTCTCACAGTTCTGTTTTTAAGAAAGTGAGTTGAAATATTTTAAGTAAAAGTTGTATTTATATTGTAATCACTCAATTTTTTTTAAAGTTAGACATCTTTAGGGCAAAAGGGAAACAGAAAACTTGCAATTCTTGAGTAAATGTCCAGTGTTTCGGCTTCCACTGAACCAGTGAGATGCAAGCCCATTCCTGCTGCTGTCGTTATCTTTATTAATGCATGCTGGGCAAGAGAGCACAGGGGCTCTGGAGCTGCTTCCATCATTTTCCTTTAACCTCTCTTTTACACGCACATACACACTTGTACACACACGGAAACATTACAACAAAAATCCCTGCCCGGGTCACCACTCTTTTTTTTTTTTT